CAAAAAAAAAAAAAAAAAAAACTGCTGTCTCCACAGTTTTGCAATCTATAGGTTTGTGGACTGTTTAAATAAAAAGAAATACACAAAGAATTAAAGGTGATTTTAAAAACAAAAGCTCTTTAAAAATCCACTCTTGGCCAGCCAATGGAATGGTGGTTAAGGTGATTGGATCTCACATGGCCGACTTTGCCAGACCAAATCCTGGACTTGATAGCTTGAAAAAACATACTGGGTGTATGTTTGTGCATGCCCAAAATTCCAAGAGAAGAATGGAGGAGAAAGAACTGTGGTGTGACCATTTCCACTAGGGGGTGATTTCTCACTTTCTTTCTGTTTCTCTCCAGCAAGAACATGCACTGTAGAGCAAATTAATTGAAAAAAAAAAAATCCAACCCTGTTATATATTGTGCTGAGAGGGTTTTGCATATGATCTCAATGTTCACAGTAACTTCACGAAGTAGTAGAGTTGTCCCTTTTGGAGATGAGAAAATTGAGGGTGTGGTAATAGTCAAGCCTTTACTAACACTACAAGCAGGATTTGAAAACAGATCTGACTGATGCAAAACTTTTGTACTTAACTTAAAATTACTGACATCTTATCCCTTTCTCCAACACTATAGCCACCATGTGATAAGTGCAAATATAATAATAAAATTTACATTTTTTTATGCAGAACTTTATAATCCAGTTTTTGGATAGACGTTTTTCTTACTTCCTGGGACTTACATATGAGAATGCTGATGGTCAGTGGCACTGGGTGGACCAGACACCATTTAACCCACGCATGGTGTGAGTATACCAGCTGTGCTCAGGGTGAATTCTGGACAAAGGTGCGGAAACGGTAGCAAGAAGAAATCATATGAGCAAGCACATATGTTGAGTAACCTCTGTATGCTATGTTCCAGTTACAGAATGATCCTATAACTTCAGATAAATTTTCATATCCTAATATATACAATGAAAGAATGGATAGTATGAAAATGATGTGAAAAAATTTTCTTAGGCTTAATATTTGGATAAAGAAAATAATAAGAGATTCGTTTTTTTTTTTAAGTACAACTGTAACCCTGTCCTTTTCTCCTTAAAACAGTGTTGACTAATAACAGTAAGGTACAAAACCATATATGTAATTTAAGATATGGCAATAGTCACATTAAGAAAGTAAAAAAGTGGGGGCAGCAGATGGCATAGTGGTTACATTGCTGGACTCCCACATGGCCGACCATGGTTCAAGTCCTGAACCAATGTTTTAAATATCATGCCAGGTGCATGTGCATGCATGCCTGAGATCCCAAGAGGAGAGTGGAGGAGAAGGGATTGCAGCATGGCCTTCCCCCCTGGATAGTGATTTCTCACTTTCCTTGTCACTGCCTCTGCCTCTCTCACTCCGGTGAGTGCACATGACCTATAGCAAAAACCATTTTAAAAAAGAAAAGAAAGAAAAATATAGATGAAATTTATTTTAATATACATTAATAATTAATAAGGTTTTTAGTTCACTGTATCCAAATCTTATTACAACATGCAATCAGTGTAAAAGGACTACTATCTTTATGTTCTTTTTTTTTATTAAGTATTCTAAGTATAGTATATTGGACAGTCAGTTCTAAAACGTTTACTAGGGACTAGATTCTGGCATAAAGATGAACCCAGCGACTACCAGAAAGAAAACTGTGTTGCCCTTGTTAATGACCAAGATAAATGGTCCTGGAAGAGTTTTTCTTGTAACCTTGAGACGAGAAGTATTTGTAAGATATCTGGAAAAACATTCAACTAGAAACCTAGGAAGTGGTCTTCATGATAAAGACAAAGAAAAACCAAACAGCTAGACCCGGAAAGAATGTCCGTGCATCAGAGGAACAGAGAAAACATGCCGGGGATAGAGCATCTTCTGTCGTGATAGTTTTGAGGTTTTTGTATAGTTCATTCAAGATAATTCAAGATGGTTGTTTGTGAGTGTGTGTGTGTGTGTGTGTGTGTGAGTGTGTGTGTGTGCGGTGAAGATAATGTGATTTGGGGGCCATCATGTGGTGTGGTGGTTAGGGCACTGGACGTTCCCATGTGGCTGACTCAAGTCTTGAACCTGGTGGTGTGCTTTCTCATTTTCCCTCTCTCTCTCTCTTTGTCTCTGGTCAAGTTAAAATAAATGAATGAACAGATAAACTTAAAAATAAGCAATACTTTAAAAAAAAAAAGATAACATGATTTGGTATGGCGTTTTAAATGAAAGGAATCATCTTTTCTGTGAGAACAAGCTCTCATTACCCTTGCTTTCTTGATTGTATTTCAAGTGATTTCCTTTTAAGTTGGTATGTATTGATTACACACCTAACAGGAAGGTTTGAATAATGTGACTTCTTGGTCATTTTTCCCCAACTCAGATTCTTAGCTCTTAAAATTCAAGGTGAGATATCCTATTTTTTCTTTTTATAATTTCTTTTTATTTATTTATTTTAATTTGACCAGAGAGGGACAGAGAGAGAGAGAGATGGAAAGTGAGAAAGCAAACCACCAGGTCCAGGATTAGAACAGCAATTGGCCATGTGGGAGTCCAACACCCCTAACCACCATGCCACATGTCAGCCCCAAAGGTGGCAGCACTAACTGGCAATACTATGCCAGGTTTTTAGCCTAAATATCACAAATGCTTTCACATTTCTAAACAACATTCTTGTTTTTTGATGCTTCATTTTCAGACTTTAATAATATATTAGTTCCATGAACAAGATTTCTCCAGGACAACAGTCTGAATTGTGGTATTGCATAGGTGCAAAAAAAATAAAAATCATACACCTTGTGAAAACTTTACTTATCACTCTTCCCTAAGTGTCTTCTTTCAGCAAGGAGTTAAGCTGATTTCATTTCTTTGTGAGTGGAAATGTCTCTATTTATAGACTGCCATCGCCAAATTCCTGCATTCTGTAGATGAGAAAAATGTGTGGGAAACTAAAGGGCTTCCTTTCACATCACCTGTCATGACAGACTGGCCCTATCCCAGACCCACTCTCCATCAGATAAAACGTATTCCTTCTGCTATTATAGGAAGGGTACTGAGGACGACTGGCCTCTTTACTTGACTAATGGTAAAATTTCTTAGGTATTTGAAGTAACATGGTATTCATGTTTTCATTAGTATTTTAATTTGAATCAGAAAGAATCCCATTTTTAACCCATTTACATTATTAGTTAACATGTTTCTGAATATTATTTATAGTTAACATGTTAACTATAAAACTGTAGTTCAAACAAGCAATAAGGTCATTTTTTGACAACCTGAAATCACATATTCCTAATGTATATAGTATTAGCTGTGAAGCAGTTGCATCCAATTTCAATAAAATATAGTGATTTAAAAAAAATTTTCAGATTGCTGATATCTAAACTGAAAACTTTTAAGCAACAGCTTTTTAATTAGATTTCCCTACCACTATTTTTTAAAATGGTAACGGGTCAGCTCATAGCCTGGTGATTAAGGTGAATAGATTACACGTGGCTGACTGCAAGGTTCTGGTTCCAGATCTTGCAATTTCAAACACAATCTGGGTGCATTTGGGTGTGTACCCAAAAATCCCCAAAGGAGGGAGAAATGGAGGAAAAGGGATTGTGACATGACCATGCCCCATGGAAGGTTCTTTCTAACTTTCCCTCTGTCTCTCTCCAGCCAGTGAATATAGCCTCTGGCAAATTTAAAAAAATAATAGAACAATTTAAAAAACAGTATTTATTTTGTATTCTTCTAATTGATTTTCTGAGTGTGGAATATTGGCAATTGATTGTAGGCGGAGATGTGTTTGTATGAGTGTGTGTGGTCTGTGGTGTGTGTGTGTGTGTGTGTGTGTGTTTATGTGTGTACATTTGTGTTTTTCAATTGTGTTTTTCACATTTGCTAAATTACATAGCACAAAACCTATAAAACCTGCTGATGCAACTTTATGTCAATACTAACGGGCTTTGCATAGTTCATATTATCCACTTTTAACTTGTATAAAATGGAATAAGCGTCAAAATTCAGTTGTTTATAAACATGGACTATCTCCTGGGTTTTGGCACCAAAAAAAGCAAAGCAAATATGATCCCTCTGTAACATTACTCATCTGTCTGCACCATAATATATCTGTCCCTGTGCTGATTGTCTCTCCTTACCTCCATGCCTGCCACCAGAGACCAAGCAGCCATCTCTCTGCCTAGATTATTACAATGCCCAGGATGGGTCTGCCTGTTTTCAGCCTGAGTCCCTTTTAGACTGTTCTCAACCTTCATGCCACCTCTCTGGTTCTTCCCAATTTCTTTGAGACAGGTGATAGTAATTTCATAAAAATATGTTATTAAGGCCAGCAGGTGGCATAGTGGTTAAGGCACCAGACTGCCACATGGCCAACCATGGTTCAAGTCCTGGACTTGGCAGCTTTTCTCACTTTCTGTCTCTCTCTCCCTCTGTGTGTGTGTGTGTGTGTGTGTGTGTGTGTGTTTGTCTGTCTTACTCTGTGGTTAAATTTAAAAAACAATCATGATGATTAATAAAATTAAATTAAACAATTCTTTAAAATATATATATGTTCTTATTATTTTAGTAAGTACATCGTGATACTCCTAGAAGTTTGAAAGTTTTAAAAATTTGCAGTGTTTTTATTTTTTAAAAAGTAATTGTGTGTGTGTGTGTGTGTGTGTGTGTGTGTGTGTGTCAAAAAGGCCAATGATAAGAAGAGTAATAAGAGTATAAGGTAAATCTCTCTTCTCCCTGAACTCTAGTTCTCTAAATGCCTCTCCAGAGTAACTGTGATGATCACTTTCTTATATATATATTTCCATATGTGTTTATGTATGTCATACATAGCCATATATGTGACATAGGAAGTACACAAGTACATGTGCTATGTAGAAAGCATGTGCTATATATACACTTTAACATATATATCGGATATATGTCAATATACTATGTAAGCATAGTGGATATATTACCCAGGATTCTTTGCACTAATAAAAACATTATTTACATTTTTTTAATCTTGTTTTTTTCTTCTTAACAACATAGTTTGAATGTTTTATTTGCCAGTCCTTATAAGTGAATAGTGTTTCATTGTATCATAATTTGAAGTAGTCCTAAAATCATGAAATATTTGCTTTACATAACAAAAATCAGTAAAATAATGGTGCAAAACAAATCATGAGAGGGACCAGCAGTTAGCGTAATGGCTATGTCACTGGACTCCCACGTAGTCGACCGCAGTTCGAGTCCCGGGCCCGGTGGCTTAAACTCATGCTGGGCATGTGTACGTGCATGCCCAAGATCCCAAGAGGAGATGGAGGAGAAGGGATTGCGGCATGGCCATACCCCCTGGGGGGGTGATTTCTCGCTTTCTGTCTCTCTGTCTCTCTCTCTGTCTGGCGAGCGCATGTGCCTTATAGCAAAAAGAAAAACCTCTCCAAAAAAAAGAAAATTATGAGAGCAAGTCCCAGTTCAGATGGAGAAAGGAAGGCAAAATTCCAGGAAGGACTTTTCCCATGAAAATATGGAACTGATAGAATGCATGAGAATGTACTGAGAGTTGGGATACAATTCTGGAGAGTTAGGAGATTAATTATAGCAGTATATAGAAAACTAGATTAAGTACAAAAATGATGCTACTGGGACCAGCAGTTAGCGTAATGGCTATGTCTCAGGACTCCCATGTAGCAGACCACAAAAAATTATTAATGATATATTTTACATTCTTTTGCTTTCAAATTAAGTTCTAAAGAAATCTGGTCTGTATTGTACACTTTCCACGCATCTCAATTAGGATAGCCCTCAATAACTTCCTGTAGCTAGTGACGACTGTGTTGGGTAGCCCCATTGTGTGGATGGTATATTATCTATGTAGAAAACATACAGAACTGGGACCGGTAGGTGCCCTGGTAATTAGGGGAGCTCGACTCCAACATGGCTAACCACAGTTCAAGTCCCAAACCTGATTGCTTGCTTTTTCACTTTCTCTCTCACTCTGTCCCTCTCTGATCAAATTAAATAAATAAAGTTAAATAAAATAATTTTGAAAAAAAAGAGAAAAAAACGTGTGGAACTATATGGACAAAGTATAAAAAAAAATAGCAAGAGCGTCAGTCCACGGCTAGTGGGTAAGGAGGAGGATTCCACGTGGCCTGCCAGAGGCCTGCTCTAGCCGGAGTGGGTCAAAGCTTGTACATAGGAAGGCGACATGGGTGAACAAAAATTAGACTGAGACTTCAATGCCCTTTAGCATGTTCTCAGCCAACTACAGTCAGAGCAAGCTCAAGACTGCAGCCCTGATGGCTAGGAGACATACATATTTATTATTAAAGGAGTTTTACAGGAGTAGGATCAGTGAGGGGAAGTAAGTGAAAGATTTTACTCCAAAAGGTAAAGCATTCAAAGCATAGGAACAATAATTATAAAACATAACATCTGTTTTGTTTAGGTATAAACAGTCATAATCCTTAGAACAAGGAAGTCCATTTGTCTGGTGTATTCTCTCCTTAGATCTTGATTACCGGGAAGGGTCTTTTGGATGAGGGGGCTCCCAGGAATCTTATTGACCTCAGTACCAGGCCAGCTTGATAACTTCAGTCCCAGATTGGCTCGAGAACTTGAGCCCCAGTTCAGCTTGAGAACTTCAGCCTCAGGCTAGGGTGGCAGCAGATTGCTGGTTACAAAGGCTTAGATAGAAATCCTGTCTGACAAGGTTAATATACTAAAGTGGAATATCTATATTATCTCTGGGGTAATCCATAGCTAAGAGGGTGAGTCTAATGTCTACATGGGAAAGAAATGTGGTCTTGTGAGCAGTTAATGACTGACCTAAAGGTTACTGTGTACTTGGGACCCTCTACATGCTGCTCTTACAATGGCTGTGGCTTGAGCAACAACAATCTTCTCTTGTCCTGAAATTAAAGGTGGCTCATGGTCTTTGTTTAGGGTATCAGCATCTCCCTGAGCCCCTCCCAACTACTGAGATCGTTTCACCAATTTAGTAGCTTTAACCTAAACCTTTCTAATCCTTATCTATGTAATCCTCAGTAAGAGAAGTGAATGCAGTATTCTTTATTGACATTTTCCAGGAGGGTGGGGTGAATCTAATGGGTGTAATTCCCATTTGCAGCCGCCGCCTTAGTGGATCTGCATTCCTTCAGGATTATTGTAAAAGTTATAGTAAGGCTGGGGTGTTATTTTGCCTTTATGGGGTACCGGGGTACAGCAATAAGGCCCATGGCAGAGAAATTGAGTGCAAGCCAGTACAGCAACACAGTGGAGGATCAGAACTCACAAACTGTTGACCTTGCTAATAGTTCTCCTCAGCCCAGTCCTTGCTTTTAGGCATGAGGGGCAGTTCCTATATACTCAGCCTGTGTTAACTGCATAGTCCCAACAATAGCCTAACTCACAGTTCAAGTCCTGGACCCAGTGGCTTGAAACTCATGCTGGGCATGCATGCTTGCATGCCCAAAATCCTGAGAGGAGAATGAAGAAGAGATTGCAATACAGTCATCCCTCCTACAGGGTGATTTCTTTTTTTCCTTAAAATTTTTTATTATTATCACAATCTTGTTTATATCATATTGACAGGCTGAGCTCTCACTTTCCCTCTCTCTGTCTGTCTCTCTCCAGTGAGCACAAGAAATATATATGTATATATGTGTGTGTGTATGTATATATATATAATATTGTGTGTGTGTGTATATATATAATATTATACTTACAACAGCAATAAAACTATTAGTTACCCAAGAATAAGAGACCAAATATTTAAGTTTTCTGGAGAAAACTCTAAACTCAGTTGCAAGATATGTGAGCTGACCTGCTCAGCCTCCGTCTCCTCAGCCACGGTGTTGTAATTTTCCTGCTTGGCTTCCTCTTAGTTCAAGCTCTGATGCTTTGGGCCAGTCCATCACTCCACTAGGACAGCCTCCAGAATTCACTGGGGTTCTGTCACTCCAACTCCTTTTTCTCACACCCTCCTGATTACAGACTCTGGGTCATGCTCTGACTCCCTGGGAGTAAATTAAGCATACCCCTCATACACACATGAATATACATGTATGCAAATATACATATGAAAGCTACCTTGCTTGGGTCTGCCCACCTAATAGATGACTTTAGGACCGCTTTATCAAGGAGGAAGAAAGGGCAGAGAATTGAGAAGAGGAAATACAAGAACAAGAGCATTTTACATGAGTCTCTATAATTTTTCTTTACATCAAAGGGACTTTTTTTTTCTTTTTTTTCTTTTTTTTTTCTTTTTTTTTCTTTTTTTTATTTATTAATTCACTTTACACCATCACAACACACAAATGAATTTTCCATCCAAAATACACTGTGCATTGTCTCAATCAAGTACATCCACATATATGTTCTCAGCAAATAATTTTCCAATTCTTACGTCCTGCATACCTTGCCCTTTGTCTTGCCATCCCTGATTCCCCATCCCCCACCCTCTGCTATGTCCCACCTT